CGCCCGCTTTTTTCTCGTCGGAGACATCAGCCCCCCCCCCCCCTGTCGTGGAGCTTGGACCCTCCGTTGGGATAATCCTGTCGCGCGCCGCCACTGACACTATTTTAGTACAGGTCCCTAACTTGGCCAAAAAAAGAAAAAAAGAAAAAAAAGACAGGAGACAGACAAAAAAATATACGATAATCTTGTCGGCGGCAGGATAGCCAAAAAGCAAACTTAATTGCTGTGTGGACAGTTTTTTTCTCCGACAAGGTTAACAGTAACATTCAAAACATTAAACATATAGGCCTAGTATATATAAAAATATATTAGAAAAATAGATAGGCCTACACTGTTTAAGTCTTAAGCTTAGGTTTTCTATGTAATTTTTGGACACAATATTCTAGAGTCTTGAACCTGGCACTAGGATGGACATCACTGCATGGTTTCTCCAAGGCATCTAATACAGAATTTCTGACCTCTCAGCCACCAAGAAGATCTGATTTTGTAGTGTGTATTTATAAATAAGTCATAAGGTCCAGTATTTTTGTAGGATGGATAAGCCAGTTTTATTTAACAGCACTATAGAAGAATGTAGTTATTGTTAATTGCTTTTATAATACTTGGCCTGCGCGAAATGGTAGGGGGGATAGACAAACTGGGGTGCGAAAATGAGGTGGAAAAAATGGAAATTTTTAGAAAGAATAGTTTATAAAGGTTTACTTTAATTTTATTAAGCCCACCACTGCCTTGAAATCTCCAAGAATATATGTATATTGCTTCTTAATTATATAAATTAAAACATTTAACCATCCCATTACTATACTGTTTACATTTACCGATAAAAATTCATTTGTATTATCTCCTGAATGTTTTTGGCAAAACTATTTGATAAATAAGAAAACAAAATTTTATTTTTCGCCTGAACTTCCACACGCGTTTATTTACATTCGTTGTATATTTGCGAAGCGCCACCTTGGGGTTGACAAAAACAGCAGCAAAGATCTTATAAACACAAGATAGCGTTCTCCGCGATTTACGCGTAACAAATAGAAGCGTCGGTCAAGGTTCAAAAGTGTCCAATTTAGCAAGAGGGCGCCATTCATGCGCTATTATACCAAAGAGAAAAAGGCATAGAGCTATTAAACAACTAGTGCTGACAAGATGGCGGAGCAATGCAGAGTTGTGTATGTGTACCATCCAAGATGGCTGCCGTAGGAAAGCGCCACCTTCAGGCTTAGTATACATATTATTCCCATAAATAAGCCCTCTGACTGAATATTATTTCATTAATGATAATTAGTATTGATACTGACAAATTATTAAACTGTCGTAGCCAAAAAGAGGCCAAGTAGAGCATCTTATTCAAATATTAAAAAGAATTAAAATCGTGTACATTACACCCATACACCGCAACGCTCGAGTTTCAAAATACGGGTAACTAGCTGTCAAAGATCTTATAAACACAAGATAGCGTTCTCCGGGATTTACGCGTGCAAATTCTGTAATAAGGCATGAATGGCGCCCTCTTGCTAAATTGGAAACTTTTGACCCTTGACCGCTATCCTCTGAACAGCAGAACAGGAACCATCTCAGATCCATGGCAACAGATAGGA